AAATTTCCATTGCTAAGCAACACAATTGTTAAGTGAGTTCTGCCCCATTTTACAATTTTTTGCCACAGTTGCTAAGCAAATCACAACAGTTGTTAAGTGAAACATACAGTTGTTAAGCAAATCTGGCTTTCCTTCTTGACTTTGCTTTTCAGAAGGTAGCCAGGAAGGTCACGAATGGCGATCACATAACCCCAGGAAGGACAGTGTAATCATCTGTAATACATGCCAATCGCTAAGCACTTGAATTTTGATCAGGTGACTGTGGATGCTGTGATGTTTGTAAATGTGAGTACTGCTTATAAGTCACCTTTTCAATGCCATTATAACTTCAAATAGTCACTAAATGAATGGTTGTTAAGTTGAAGACTACCTGTACAGATTTGGGCATAAATAGGAGATGGATTATGGGAAGAAGAGATATTTGCATGAAACCTTACTTACAGAGGTTGTATAATTACTGAGTTTGTACTTGTTATAATGAAAATCACATGTTTAAATATTTCTTTTCTTCTTCTTTTCTTTTTCCCTCCACTTTCTATTTTCATTTCTGAATTTAGTTTGTGTTGTTTTTTTTATCATTGTCTTTTTAAAATAACTATCAATATTTTTTTAAAAAGCGTGATAAACTATTTCTAATACAATCTTAACTCTCAAAACCACAACATTCTTTATTAAAGTAATCACACTAGATTAAAAGTTAATCTGGAGAGTAATGAGTAATGAGCAGAGTCCTTGGTCGCTGCTTGGAATACAGTGGCGGCCGAGGCTCTGGACCGGATTGCGCCTTTGCGGCCTCTCCACGGCAGTGGATCCAGGAGGGCCCCTTGGTTTACCGAGGAACTCCGGGAGATGAAGCTCCAAAAGAGACGCCTAGAGCGACGCTGGAGGGCCAGTAACTCCGAATCTGACTGAACACTACTAAGAACCTTTATTAGGTCTTATCTAGAGGCGATACGGGCAGCAAAATGTGCACATTTTTCCGCTCTTATTGCATCCGCAGAATCTCGCCTGGTCACCCTGTTTAGGATAACTCGCTCCCTTCTGAAAGGGAGGGATGCGAGTGAACCCTTACAGGGAAGAGCTGAGGAGTTTGTTCA